AGGGGTTGCCACCTGCCTGCTCATGGCAGCTGGGGTTCCTGGAGGTGCCGGCTCCCTCTGTGGGCTGAGACCACAGCTAGTTGCCCCAGGCCCCAAACTCACCACCAAACGCACCCTGCAAAGGACACACGTGTTGGTATAAACCAGTGTCATGGCCAGGGAGGCACAGGGCCAGGTGTGGGGTCTCCCCGAGAGCAGGTTCGGACTGGGTGGAGGAGGGAGTGTGGCAGCTGCATGGACGGGGCAGAGCTGGCCTCCTGCTGGTGGGAAGAGCTGAGTTCCCTGCCGGGCCGGCTTCCCCGGGCTGGGCAGGCCTCTGACCGTGCTCTCCTGGCGCAGGGTGAAGAGAACCCTTCACCAGAACGTGCCGTCCCCAGAGCCCTTCTTCCAGCCTCTCTACAGTGTGCACCACGGGAACTTCCAGGTGCGGGGCCGCAGGGCGGGGAGGGCAGGGGTTGCTCAGAGGCCTGGCCGGCTCAGGGTGTGGGCTCTGGGTGAGGGCTGGGCGGGACACGGGGACCTCTCTCAGCGCTTTGAGCTTTTTGGGTATATGGAGTGGGCTTAAATTTATACACGGTGTCTCAAATGGGTAAAGAAAAAAGGAACTGTGCTTCCTATTGCTTATTTCTTTGTGCTCGTGTCTCTAATGCCATTGCTGGTGGGAAAATGTAAAGGTTCCTACGACGTCATCTGTCCGCTGGGTCGCGGCAGCCCCTGGAGGTAAATCCGGGGCTGTCTGCACCTGCCGCCTCGTCCTTTCTTCACGTCCAGGTGTCTGTGTGGCGGCTGTGGGGAGGGGCTCTAGTGTGTCCTTGGGGCTCACTGGCCGGGGGACACTGCTCTGCTGGCCATGGTGGGGTGCCTGGCCTTCCGGCCGCCCTGGTAGCACACTGGCACCTGGCCAATGAGTAGACCCTCACTTTCCCCCTTTGTGGAGCCCTGGGGGGCGCCCGCAGGGCCATGGCAAGCGGGGAACAGCCTGGAGGACTCCTCAGACTCTGTGCAGACCGGTCCTCTCCCTGCTGCTCCTGGCATGGGCGGGATGGGTGGGGGAGGAGGCGCTCCCACCCGCTCAGGACCCTCACTTTGGTCGAAGGAGCAGGAGCAGTGCTTCCTGGGTCCTCAGACCTGCCCTTCCCAGGCCCCCCCTCCCGTCACGAGTCGTCCAAAAGTATCATTGGAAGGTTAAAGGGGAGCCCCTTGTCCTTGGTGGGGTCCACCTCTTCCCCGGGGCAGTGGGCGGGACAAGGCCCCCTGGGCAGCTGGGACAAGGCTGAGTGGGACGAGATTGCGATTGCCCCTGGGCTGCGGGCACCCGCCCCTTCTCGGTAGAACCACCACACCTGCCTGGGGACAGAGCCAGGATAAGGTGTGTGTGGTGCATTTGCTGGAGGCTCCTGGTCCCACCCAGGGAGCAGCTTCCTTTTGGGGGCTGACTTCATCAATCAAATGGTTAAGGCACTTAATTTTTAAAATAGTGTCTCTTTTCCAAACTTGTAAGAAAGTTGGATCTACAACAAAGACCACACCTTTTGTCTTTTCATTGATTCAATCCACTGAAGTCCAAAATATCATTATTTCAAGACTCCATGGGTTTTTCTTAACTTTAGGAGTGAGGTGGTAAGTGACAGCTGAGCTTGAGAGAAAATCTTGAATGCAGACCTAGTTGTGGTATGTGTCCTTAGATAACTGATTAAACCGTTTTGTCTGTAACATGAGGCACATGAATCACATGATCTCTAGATATTTTGAGATCAATAATTCTATGGTTGGAATATTTTAAGACAATCTCTTTATTTTAAACAAAACCAAATAGGCACTGTTCTATGAGAGTTCACATTAAAAATTAGTATCACTGCAGTGGTATGATTGGGTGGCCTTAATACAGAAAAGAGAG